TCCAAAGAACACCATACCTACTGTGAAGCATGGGGGTGGAAACATCATGCTTTGGGGCTGTTTTTCTGCAAAGGGACCAGGACGACTGATCCGTGTAAAGGAAAGAATGAATGGGGCCATGTATCGTGAGATTTTGAGTGAAAACCTCCTTCCATCAGCAAGGGCATTGAAGATGAAACGTGGCTGGGTCTTTCAGCATGACAATGATCCCAAACACACCGCCCGGGCAACGAAGGAGTGGCTTCGTAAGAAGCATTTCAAGGTCCTGGAGTGGCCTAGCCAGTTTCCAGATCTCAACCCCATAGAAAATCTTTGTAGGGAGTTGAAAGTCCGTGTTGCCCAGCGACAGCCCCAAAACATCACTGCTCTAGAGGAGATCTGCATGGAGGAATGGGCCAAAATACCAGCAACAGTGTGTGAAAACCTTGTGAAGACTTACAGAAAACGTTTGACCTGTGTCATTGCCAACAAAGGGTAAATAACAAAGTATTGAGAAACTTTTGTTATTGACCAAATACTTATTTTCCACCATAATTTGCAAATAAATTCATTAAAAATCCTACAATGTGAATTTTCTGGATTTTTTTTTCTCATTTTGTCTGTCATAGTTGACGTGTACCTATGATGAAAATTACAGGCCTCTTTCATCTTTTTAAGTGGGAGAACTTGCACAATTGGTGGCTGACTAAATACTTTTTTTCCCCACTGTATGTGTACTTTCATGAACCAGCTTTGAGAGATGTGGAGGTGTTGCAGAATTTGCTTTGGATTCCTGGTAGGCAACTAGCGAGAGACAGCAGGAGATCGTCCTCTGTATGCCCTTATTATACTCATGTGATGTGTGTTGCTTGAGTAAAGGTTTTGGTAAGTATACAGTATGTCATTGTGACCGTAAGATGTCATGGCAATGCACGTCAAGCAAAGTGACCTCACATAGCAGAAAGAGAGGAATGATGTGTGATTTCACAGTATTACTCTGCTGGATATTCGTGGTCCTCTGTAGCTCAACTGGTAGAGCACGGCGCTTGTAACGCCAAGGTAGTGGGTTCGATCCCCGGGACCACCCATACACAAAAAAAAAATGTATGCACGCATGACTGTAAGTCGCTTTGGATAAAAGCGTCTGCTAAATGGCATATTATTATTATATTATTCTCTCTACATTCTTTCACATTAAATACTTCCTCTGAGGTGTTTTTAAATCCCTAATAGCCTATTCAACTTGATGAATGTAATAATGTACCATGTCTACAGCTTGTATGGTAACTGGTACTGTACAATAAGCCTTATCCCTCTCTGTACCTGTAGAACATTTACATAACTTGCTTTAGTTAAGTGAGCTGCTGCCTTTTCATCCCACATTTCTACATTGCCTTTTAGTGACCATTTTGTGCTGTTGAAAACAGTGGTGTACCTCAGAGTACCACAGTATGAGTCATAAAACCTAGCAGTCAAACAGAGAAATGGTTCCGATAGTTTTTCACCATTCATTTTCCCCATAGGGATGTTAGAAACCCTTAAAATAAAGGCTGTGTTTCGTGTAGGCTTACCTGGCATGACGTTTTGATAACTGTGTAAATCTGGAGGTATTACCCACAAACTGAATGGATGGAAAATGTTGTACTTGAATACCCACAGGACACAGCAACCTTGCACCTGAGAGATACAGTATACTGTATGGTTGCTATTCATAAACATATTACTTTGTTTCACGGCTATATTCACATTCTCACAAAACAAGCTAAAGCATGGTGTAAATTAATTTCAATAATTCAGTGTATCTGTCTCTATTCAAATAAAGGATTGAAATAAATTAATGCAAAGCCTAATGTCTGGTATGTGATTTGCAACCTAGAGAAAACCAGCTGACGAAATATCAGCAATGGCAAATCAGCTGTACATGACAGCCATATTATTAATTTAACAGCATTGTCTGCTACAGTGACAGCGGTGTCCTCTGTGCTAAGCTGTAGCCAGTCTGGGGTTCAGCTGTACTGGGGCTTAGATGTGTGTGAGCTGGGTCAGGTGCGGGGTCCAGGGAGAGGTGAGCCACACAGGGCTTACGTAACACCAGAACCTCCCTTCTCCTCCTCCCCCGTTCTCCCCTCGTGTGTTCCCCTCTCCTCCTCTGTCCTGCTCCCTACACAGCCCCAACCAGGGGGAAATTAATATTTTAATCTCTTTGACAGATTCAAAGAACAGCCCAAACACTGAAAGAGAAAACGGATGAATAAATTATGAAGTGGCATTTCGTGTGACAACAAGGCTGCGAGACTCGGCCAGACGATTTTTGTTAGGATATCATGTTCGATGAGGAAGTGCACACACTGTGGGTGAAGTTTGAAGTTCATGTTGTTGGTTTTAAAAAGCACCAAAAAAAAACACAAGACAGTAAAAACAAACGTGAGCCTTCAAATTGGCAGTAAATGTAAGGTATTGAAACTACCAAGTTAGACCACATCCATCTGAAGTGAGGAAATATTGTATAACAGCGACAATAGCCCTACAGATTTATGAAAAATAAGTAAAAACAGTCAGGAGAGGTAGTTTTAGACAACATACAGCTAGCTCCACTATGGTCTCTGGCGCCACAATGTGGTCTCTTCTTACATAACCACCATCAACCAGGCGGTTCCTTCTGAACATGTATACTGAACAAACATATAAACGCAACATGCAACAATTTCAAAGATTTTACTGAGTTACAGTTCATATAAGGAAATCAGTCAATTGAAATAAACAAATTAGGCCTAATCTATGGACTTCAGATGACTGGGAATACAGATATGCATCAGTAGGTCAAAGATGGCTTAAAAAAAGGTAGGGGCGTGGAACAGAAAACCAGTCAGTATCTGGTGTGACCACCATTTGCCTCATGCAGCGCGACATCTCCTTCTCATAGAATTGATCAGGCTGTTGATTGTGGCCTGTGGAATGTTGTCCCACTCCTCTTCAATGGCTGTGCGAAGTTGCTGGATTTTCGGATGAATGACACGACAACGGGCCTCAGGATCTCGTCACGGTATCTGTGTGCATTCAAATTGCCATCAATAAAATGCAATTGTGTTCATTGTCCGTAGCTTATGCCTGCCCATACCATAATCCCACCAACCACCATGGGGCACTCTGTTCACAACGTTGACATCAGCTAACCGCTCGCCCACACGACGCCATACACGTGGTATGAGGTTGTGAGACCGGTTGGATGTACTACCAAATTCTGTAAGACCAACATGGTAGAGAAATGAACATTCATATCTCTGGCAACAGCTCTGGTGGACATTCCTGCACTCAGCATGCCAATTGCACGCTCCTTCAAAACTTGAGGCATATGTGGCATTGTGTTGTGTGACAAAACTGCATATTTTAGAGTAGCCTTTTGTCCCCAGCACAAGGTGCACCTGTGTAATGATCATGATGTTTCATCAGCTTCTTGATATGCCACACCTGTCAGGTGGATGGATGATTTTGGCAAAGTACATCACTAACAGGGATGTAAACAAATCTGTGCACAAAATTTGAGCGAAATAAGCTTTTTTGTGCGTATGGAAAATGTCTGGGATATTTTTATTTCAGCTCATGAAACATGGGACCAACACTTTACATGTTGCGTTTATATTTTTGTTCAGTGTATTTAGGTTACTCAAAATAAGGCACACATGAGATATTAGTTAGTGATTTATTTTCCCCAAACTAATGGAAATCTATAGTGGTGTCCCTGTTCCGGAATACCAATAGGAGATTCTACTGCAAATCACATTTCAATCTGTCAATACCGAGTTGCAATGCAGTCCACACATTAAAATGTACAAAAACAAAGATTTTCATTCAACACATGGGTTACCATATTACAACATTGTGCTTATTTTCAGTGCCAATGTGCAGCATTGTCAACAAGCATGTCTGTAACAAACATCTAGAGCCCTTGGTTGCCCCATAACAACAATATTAACATTACTTTAATATCTAGGCTCAACCCTACATTCTGAGGTACTACAGACAACTGGGCACAACCCTAACTGTAAGCAAAAACATTACTGCAAAATGTGGGGCCAGACCAAGCCTAGTATAATGTAACTACTGTACTCCCTAGAATATCTCAGTACTTACAGACTGAGCTCTTATTCACTGATCTTGGATCAGTTTTGCCTTTTTATTTATAATGATATGGACAAGGTGGCCCTGGTCCTAGATCAGCACTCTTACTCTGAGTCGCTTTGTGAATACAGACTCTTGGCTATATAGGAATACATATTGTCACACAATATTCTTATTATAACATGAATAAAGTTGCCTCAAACTGGTCAAGTTTGTCAGTAACTGTGGAACCATAGAAATATAATTACAGAATTATAGCAATTATTTTTCTATGTGTGGAACACCTCCAATACATACCAGGTTAATTGTATCTTTAAATATGATTCGGTTTCATTATTAGTTACATTACAGTGTAATCGGTACAGTATACATAAATGATTTGTCATATCAAACTTATTTTTCAAACACTGGCTGGTTTGAGAATAATTGTTACCCTTTTGAGACCCCCAAGAGAAAATAAAGAGTAGGGTCATAAAATGTAAACTAGAAGGTTATGGGGGTTTAACTTTTTCCTACATTCACATTGCTGACTTGCTGTGTTGAGAGGTGAAACAGTAAATATCATCCTATTGCTGCTAATGTTACTTTAGGGGGCTATTCTAGGTTACTGAAATCAGTTGTGTTCATTAGGCACCAAACAGAAGAAAACAGACAAAAATAGGGAGGGACTACTCGTCCAATAGGAAATGCTATTTTTTCATTTTCCATTGCAAAACATTTTGCCACTGTGTGCCCTAATGAACACTACCCAGAATTGCCCTTGATATTTAAATAAAAGTATGAAGTCCAATAAGGGGCAAGAGAACGGAAGCATTGGACAAGGTCTCTGACAGACACACCAGACTGTTATTCCTGAGTTGCATCCCTGTGTTGCGCTGCATAGTGAGTGGTTGGTGAGTGTGTCAGTAATCATAGAAACCGCTGCCTCCGTCACACTGCGTCACCCCACACCCACACAGTCTCTTCCAGACCAGGACAGACAGACTGGTTAGTTCGTTCAAATCATCATTGTCCTGCTCTTTGCCCCACAGAGTCTCCAGAAGTTGAGGAGGCGTCCCTTTCTGTGCCGGCTTAGCGCTTGTTGGCTGCAAACACCGTGGCTTTGTTTACCGAAGGACCTGACGGAAAGAGACCGACAGATTCTCTCAATTTCCCAATGGTGAAATCGTTTGACTTTTGGGAGGCAACCTTTTCCCCCTATTCCATGCAGTGTAAACATTGACATACAGACAAACTGGTACTAACTAAGATGAGGCACTACACAAAATACTCAGGTGTTAGGCAAATGTGAATTTCAAGGCAAGTTTCCTTTTGGGGCTTGTGGGTTCTAGTGAGTTTACGGAGAGGTGCTATAGTGTGATGTTAGGATGCAAATTATGTTCACACAGGAGGAATCCCAAAATATGTGTAGTGGTAAAAGGAAATGTAGCTTGTTGTGCCAGACATTTAGATAAGTAGCATACCGTTTTTAAACGTGTGCATGCTTTTCTTCTCCAAGAAAACAACAGCTGATTCAAAGAGGATGTAGCGAATTTCAAAACTCTTCCGCGATAGGGAGCCGGTACGATACATGAGGTTCCTTGGCGGGAAGAGGTAATCGAGGAGAGGAGCAATCTCCTACGTTCGCTATATTATCGAAGTGGCACTCTCCTACATATGGCGAGTCGAGGAGAAGATGGACTTTTTCCCTATGCATACCTGCGTAGTTAAGCAGCACAGGGAGGAAGATGAGTCCGTGTGTTGCCCCCAGCAGCACCATGGCCAGGTACATGCAGAAGTAGAAGATCTGGGACTTTGACAGGATGCCTCCAAACTTAGTCAGAGTGATCCCACTGAACACCTGGGAGAAGAGGAGCCATGGTTTAGTTATGTTCTGGTGCTCAGCATTCCCTCCAGTCAAAAATTAATACAATAAACAGGTTCTAAAAACCGGAGCAAAACAATCAAGTCATTTCTACTTTCCTAGATATTCCATTCAAGCCAAGAATTCAACTTCACACAGGTTTCTTTTTTTTTGCATTGCTGCAGAGCAATCTTTTCGGGATCTTTAGTCTTCTGCACACAAAGATCCTTCCGGAAGCTTTTGCACATGTGTAGCCTACATTCTCTACTTTACTCACAGAGAACAGGCTACTCAGATGAACGGTGCTCGTTTAATAAAGTTAGATCAAAGCTGAATCAGTGTCTGCAAGATCACATAATGTTCACAGTATTCTACATAGCAGAATCAAATATAATACGTTACTTTAAGAGAAAAACACCACCACATTCTGTCGTGCATGATAATTGTTCAAGTTTTACCGGTGAAACATCCATGCAGCATCATTCTGCATAGTAACCATTTGATCTCGATCGGTTTCATGGGGATATGCATTTCGATCTTCTTGAGTTATACGGTGTAGTTTCAAAGTAGCCTGAAAAAGTTGGATCCGCAGCCACTCCGTAGTATTTTTACATGTCAGATACTGATATAACAGACAATCCTTGGGCAAAGGATGAACTACATGCTTTTTTAAATACATATTCAGACAGTGTGCCTTTCCATGAACATAACACACAGTGTGCTAGTCTGGGGTGAACTACAAGAGTAGAGATGTACTTACTGAGCTGCCCATGTGGGCCAGAGCCTCTTCAGCCCTTTCCACCCTGGTACTCTTCATACTGATGGAGAAAGCCCTCACTATGTGACTGCAGAACTCCACAGAGATACCACAGCTCTGCAACACACACACAATACACCGGGATACTGGGCTGTGCTCACAACGAGGAGTGTTCTGCATCCTCCTTTGTTGTCAAAATATGGCACTTAGAAATAACTACCAAAACTACCCAGAAATTTCAAATTATAGGAAGACATAGTTTTGGATTTATGAGATTTTTTAATAAACCGTTATAAGCCTGTTCCTTCTCTCACCATGACGAGGTTGACGAGGGACAAAGCGTTGAGGCTGATGTCCCAGAGCCACATGACCCCGAACATGTTGACCAGGATCATGGCGATGGTGATGCTGACCAGCACTCCTGACCCCAGCTCAAAGCCCAGCAGCACCGTGGTCACCACAAAGATGGCCGCCAGCTACACGCCCAGCTGGAAGACCGTGTCGTAGGCAATGGTCAGGTACTGCTCGTAGAACACACTGGAGAGGGAAAAGAACAGTTCGAATTTAAGTTTCAACAAATTCAACCTCTGCAACATAATTGTATTACAGTATGTAGAAAATGACACGTGAATTATGTACTTAAAAAAGGTACAACTTAAAATGTCCCTAGTGTGGCAACTGAAGGTACTTTGACCAAGAAACAAAACCAAAACCAAGAAGGGCAGTATTTTTGACAGGACAGAATACGTACAGATGGCATCTTTCAGTGTTGGTTGGCCGTTATCTTACATGCAGTGTTTAAATGTACTATTCAACCCCTCTCTAACCCTTAAAACAGGATGTGTGGTAAATAGGGGCTAAAACAACGTTATGAGTGTGTGTTTATCTATGACCAACTTTCTTCTCCACCTTTTATGGTTATTTTGAGGAACAAAGACCCTGGAAAGCTTTCAGAGCTGTTCTATTTAGCCAGAAAATCAGGAACTCAGAAACAGTGAGTTCAGGGCGTATCTATCCCACTAGTGAGTTGTGACTATTTTCTCTTCTCATGAGGGCAAAAATAACCAGTGACTGTTATATCAGCAGCTAACCCAGTAACACTAACCCTTTGCGGGAAAAGCCTCATGCTTTTTTCATAACATGTGAGGCAGTGGAGGCTGCTGAAGGGAGGGCGGTTCATAAAAATTTAATCAAGTGGTATCTACCACATGGAAACCACATCTTTGATGTGTTTGATACCACTCCATTGACTCAATTCCAGCCATTATTATGAGCTGTCCTCCCCTCAGCAGCCTCCACTGGTGTGGGGGTGATGTGGAAACAACAACACTGGAACAGTTAATAGCTCCTATCTGAGTGTGATAACATGCATCCTAAACTAAGATAGGTGTTGGCCTAGTCTACCTGTAGGGGAAGACTGTGGCCTATGGCGCTTGTGATGTTGTCAGCCAGGACGGGGGCCATCTTCATGGCATCTATGAAGTCAGAGGAGTCCTTGAGGATGGTGTGGTAGGTCATGAAGTAGGTGGCCCCCACAGATGTGTCGTTCCCCTTTAGGACCACAGCTGAACTGTAGGCCACGTGACCACTGCAGGACCACCAACACCACGTTAGAGGCAAATACAGAGTCAGTCAGTTCAAAGGAATTATAATTCCCTTAAACTGAATGATTGAATCGCAAATTTAAGAGTTCAACGCTTACAGTGAAAAGCAAAAGATTCAGACAAATGGTTTACTGTAAACTACATCAAGGTAAAAGCATGAAATGCAACCAGTCCATATGTCTCAATACAATAAATTAGGAACTACAATGACTTCATTGCCATTGAGAAACAACCATTACCCTTTCCCACACTTGATGTTGGGGTTGTCTGACAGAAACATGGGTAGGAACTTCATGAAGTCCTGCTCTATAGGCCTCAGCTTCCCACTGGGGGTCATGGGGCGGCAGTGCACACACGACGTGTCCACCACTGATGAGAGAAGACAAATATAGGTACTTTAATACAACATTTATAACATCAAATTACAAAGAAAAAGCCCTTCAAATCCTGCCACATTGACTAAAATCAATACTTCAGAATGACACTGTTTTGCAACAGCTTGATATTGGAATGTAGCCTGTGTCTTCAAAATAAGGATGTGAGTGAGACATTGTTAGACATGTTAACAGAGTTGTCCTGAGCGTGTAGACTTGCTTTGCCCAGCGGCTGTTGGAAGAGACTAAAGCGAGTGTGTGACTTGATCAGAGCAGAGCAGTGTGTTATTGACACATTGGATAATGGTTTAACATTACTGCCTGAGGCAATGCAGAAGGCCCCAGAGAAGTTGTAATATCTACAGCAGGAGGACTGAGGCTTCAACCAGTCAAAGTAGTCATCCAGCCACGACAACGGGTTAAATCCTATAGTGGTGCTGGAGGGAGAATAACATTGAGATTACTTGATCCTTTTCTATTGGAAGACATTCAAGAAAGTCTTATAATTCCTTCAAACAAGAAGGTATTTGTCAGCAGTGTTGGGGTAACGCATTATAAAAGTTACACGTTATGTAATATTACTTTTATGAGTAACATGTTACTTACAAATGTGAGTAATAGTTACTTTTTCAAGTAATGTGCGCGTGACTTTCAGAAAATATTTTACCTCTGATCTGTGCCATTGATCGCTTCTGTGATAAAGCCCATAGGGCTTCACCGTCTAGTGGCAAGGGTGTCATCTAGCTATCCATCTCTGTGCAGAGGTCTAACCAGCACTGGCGGCTGGAGAGAAAGATTTTGACTGAAAATAAAAGGAATTCTGTACAGAGGTTTAGCTCAGCCTATATTAGGATAATTAGGCCCATATATGACAGTGATAACTGTAACATTAAACTATACACAGTCACCTCCAAGATTATTGGCACCCGTTGATAAAGCTGAGCAAAAACTAAATACAAATACTGAGCTATATTATTTGCACCATTTTTGTTGTTGTTGAAATTATATTATACTAATACAATTGCTCACAGAAAGTGATTTTGTTTAACAAGTAATTTTTTTCTCTCAAAAAGATAGGGGTCACGGAGCCTTTTTCGAAAATGTTTTATGACATTGGAGAACACATTGGGAGGGATCTTAGACCATTGCTTCATACAGAATCTTTCCAGATACTTGATATCCTTCACCTGCGGCTTCTGGACTGCCCTCTTCAATTCAAACCACAGGTTTTTAATGGGTTTTTTAATGGTTTTATGCCAGAGACTGAGAAGGACTTTGCCTTCTCTTGCTGTAAGATCCACTTGCGGCCAAGTTTCAGCCTCCTGTCAGAGGCAACCAGGTTTTTGGCTAAAATATCTTGGTACTAGGTAAAGTTAATGTGCCCCAGTGGAAACAACATAGCCCCATAACATCAAAGATCCACCACCATATTTTACAGTAGGTACAGTGGGGAAAAAAAGTATTTAGTCAGCCACCAATTGTGCAAGTTCTCCCACTTAAAAAGATGAGAGAGGCCTGTCATTTCCATCATAGGTACACATCAACTATGACAGACAAATTGAGAAAAAAAATTCCAGAAAATCACATTGTAGGATTTTTTATGAATTTATTTGCAAAATATGGTGGAAAATAAGTATTTGGTCACCTACAAACAAGCAAGATTTCTGGCTCTCACAGACCTGTAACTTCTTCTTTAAGAGGCTCCTCTGTCCTCCACTCGTTACCTGTATTAATGGCACCTGTTTGAACTGGTTATCAGTATAAAAGACACCTGTCCACAACCTCAAACAGTCACACTCCAAACTCCACTATGGCCAAGACCAAAGAGCTGTCAAAGGACACCAGAAACAAAATTGTAAACCTGCACCAGGCTGGGAAGACTGAATCTGCAATAGGTAAGCAGCTTGGTTTGAAGAAATCAACTGTGGGAGCAATTATTAGGAAATGGAAGACATACAAGACCACTGATAATCTCCCTCGATCTGGGGCTCCACGCAAGATCTCACCCCGTGGGGTCAAAATGATCACAAGAACGGTGAGCAAAAATCCCAGAACCACACGGGGGGACCTAGTGAATGACCTGCAGAGAGCTGGGACCAAAGTAACAAAGCCTACCATCAGTAACACACTACTCTGCCAGGGACTCAAATCCTGCATTGCCAGACGTGTCCCCCTGCTTAAGCCAGTACATGTCCAGGCCCGTCTGAAGTTTGCTAGAGTGCATTTGGATGATCCAGAAGAGGATTGGGAGAATGTCATATGGTCAGATGAAACCAAAATATAACTTTTTGGTAAAAACTCAACTCATCGTGTTTGGAGGACAAAGAATGCTGAGTTGCATCCAAAGAACACCATACCTACTGTGAAGCATGGGGGTGGAAACATCATGCTTTGGGGCTGTTTTTCTGCAAAGGGACCAGGACGACTGATCCGTGTAAAGGAAAGAATGAATGGGGCCATGTATCGTGAGATTTTGAGTGAAAACCTCCTTCCATCAGCAAGGGCATTGAAGATGAAACGTGGCTGGGTCTTTTAGCATGACAATGATCCCAAACACACCTCCCGGGCAACGAAGGAGTGGCTTCGTAAGAAGCATTTCAAGGTCCTGGAGTGGCCTAGCCAGTCTCCAGATCTCAACCCCATAGAAAATCTTTGGAGGGAGTTGAAAGTCTGTGTTGCCCAGCGACAGCCCCAAAACATCACTGCTCTAGAGGAGATCTGCATGGAGGAATGGGCCAAAATACCAGCAACAGTGTGTGAAAACCTTGTGAAGACTTACAGAAAAACATTTGACCTGTGTCATTGCCAACAAGGGGTATATAACAAAGTATTGAGAAACTTTTGTTATTGACCAAATACTTATTTTCCACCATAATTTGCAAATAAATTCATAAAAAATCCTACAATGTGATTTTCTGGATTTTTTTTCTCATTTTGTCTGTCATAGTTGACATGTACCTATGATGAAAATTACAGGCCTCTCTAATCTTTTTAAGTGGGAGAACTTGCACAATTGGTGGCTGACTAAATACTTTTTTTCCCCACTGTAGTTTGACCACCCCCATGGTTGCATGCTAAGACTTATTTATGTCATCTGACCATGCACCGGTCCAATCAAGTGCCAATGCCATGTTGTTGGAGCAAAAATTCCAAAGGGGGCTCTATTTTACATTTTTGCATCTGACCCACTTGAGCAAGTTCCAAGCCAAGTTCTAGCCCTTTACTGACATTTCACATCATACTCCCAGGCTCGAAGGTATCTAACACTCAACAGTCGTTCATCAGCACACAACGGGTTATCCTATAGTGGCTGGAGAAAACATGATTACTTGATCCTTTCTATTGAAGACATTCAAGAACGTCTTATAATTCCTTCAAACAAGAAGGTATTTGTCAGCATGTTGGGGTAACGCTTATAAAAGTTACACGTTATGTAATATTACTTTATGAGTAACATGTTACTTACAAATGTGAGTAATAGTTACTTTTTCAAGTAATGTGCGCGTGACTTTCAGAAAATATTTTACCTCTGATCTGTGCCATTGATCGCTTCTGTGATAAAGCCCATAGGGCTTCACCGTCTAGTGGCAAGGGTGTCATCTAGCTATCCATCTCTGTGCAGAGGTCTAACCAGCACTGGCGGCTGGAGAGAAAGATTTTGACTGAAAATAAAAGGAATTCTGTACAGAGGTTTAGCTCAGCCTATATTAGGATAATTAGGCCCATATATGACAGTGATAACTGTAACATTAAACTATACACAGTCACCTCCAAGATTATTGGCACCCGTTGATAAAGCTGAGCAAAAACTAAATACAAATACTGAGCTATATTATTTGCACCATTTTTGTTGTTGTTGAAATTATATTATACTAATACAATTGCTCACAGAAAGTGATTTTGTTTAACAAGTAATTTTTTTCTCTCAAAAAGATAGGGGTCACGGAGCCTTTTTCGAAAATGTTTTATGACATTGGAGAACACATTGGGAGGGATCTTAGACCATTGCTTCATACAGAATCTTTCCAGATACTTGATATCCTTCACCTGCGGCTTCTGGACTGCCCTCTTCAATTCAAACCACAGGTTTTTAATGGTTTTTTTAATGGTTTTATGCCAGAGACTGAGAAGGCCTTTGCCTTCTCTTGCTGTAAGATCCACTTGCGGCCAAGTTTCAGCCTCCTGTCAGAGGCAACCAGGTTTTTGGCTAAAATATCTTGGTACTGGGTAAAGTTAATGTGCCCCAGTGGAAACAACATAGCCCCATAACATCAAAGATCCACCACCATATTTTACAGTAGGTATGAGGTACTTTTCTGCATATTCATCCTTCTTTTGACCCCAAACCCACCACTGGTGTGCATGGCCTAAGAGCTCTATTTCCATGTCATCTGACCATAGCACCGGTTCCAATCCAAGTGCCAATGCAGTTTAGCAAACTCCAGGCGTTTACATTTGTTGGATGACATGAAAATAGAGCTCTTGGGCCCCACACACCAGTGGTGGGTGGTTTTGTAATCAAATCAAATGTTATTGGTCGCATATACATATTTAGCAGATGTTATTGCAGGTGTCGTGAATCCCAACACTGTTTGTTAGTGAGTTCAATGCTATAACTGCAGCTAAAGCCAGAGTTCTAGTCTCCCTGTTTAACCCTGACTGATTTCACATCATACTCCTGATTTCAACATGCAGTCCAAAGGTGAAAGAAGTGGGGAGGGGTTGCTGTTGCTTCACTCACTAGTTGCTGATGAGAGATGCTGTGTAGACCTGTTGGACCAGAGAGTTGTTGCTGCAGCCCACCCCTCCACACACAGAGTTCTGGTCCATCCAGACTCAAGTAGTCATAGCCATCCTCCACCACGAAGTAGACCGGAGGACCCGTTTGGAGGTACTCACTCAGGTTCTTAAAGTAGTCCAGCACGTACGAGTCCTATTGGATGGGAGATTCAATATGAGAGAAATGTCCGACATGATCCAATGCATCAAAGGAGAAGACCAATTATCAATAGCATACTGAGTGAGGCTGGTGGGGGTAGATGTACTAGACATACTTACATCAGGCATGGAGAGCTTCTGGTCCAGTCCAATCTCTACCTTATTGGTGACAGCGATACTGAAGGACAACATCCCCACAAACACAACCACCTGTCCAAGAGAAGTTATTAAAGATACACTATGGAAGTTTAGTGGCTAACTGTTTACATAACATTTTGGCTTGAAAGCTGGCTCTATTGTACATTTAAATCTGAGTATCAGCACTCAATGGGTCTGACCCACTCCTTGAGGATGAAGGGGGCGTAGACCTTCTTGAAGAAGTAGAAGAGGAAGCCATCTGTCCTCTCCTCCTGGCCATCTGGCAGCTTCACACAGCACACAATGTCCACACAATTTTCCTGGAAAAACAACGTCTAAATTCTTGAAGCACAAGAGAACGATGTTGACTTAACCCAGAAATCCTGAATAAGGCCCCAAGGACCCAATCAGTAAAGCATTTTAAAACAGTTTTACTTCCTTATTAGATAACTCCAGTGTCTCGCTCTATTAAACGTGACATCAGTGCACTACTCACTTGAAGTGGGCTGTAACCGTGACACTCATGCTTAGCTGGGAATGACATGGTAATGAAACAGGGAGTTAGCAAATAGTGACACAGAATGCTGACAGATACTGTCTAGCATGCCAACCCTACCCCTGTGAGTCATCACCAGTCCTCTCACAGGAGAAGCAAATGCAGTGTGTAGGCATTTATTTTATTCCCCAGCCCTCCTTACCTCCTGCCTCTTAGCGTCCAGGCCCAGCAGGCTGACAAAGCAGCTGATCTGTAGCAGGAAGTCGTCCCCAACCCTTAACCCAGCCCTACCTTACCCTACCCCCATACCAGCCCAGCCCTCCTCACCACCTGGCTCTTAGCGTCCAGGCCCAGCAGGCTAATGAAGCAGCTGATCTGTAGCAGGAAGTCAATGAACACAGCCAGCCCAGCAAACAGGGAGAAGGTCCGCACCGCCGGCATAGTGGACAGGGCCCCTGGAGAGGAAAAAAGTAGGTAACCCATTGACATTAGAGCTCCAGACTCAAGCTTGTCATTACACAAATTGCAGTCAATATGGAAATCCATGGGAGTGACAAAGGACCAAGTTGACATCTTCAATTATTTACATACTACATTATACAATACAATATGTTTGATTGTTCTATAATGTAGCCAAGTAGTGTGTCAACACTAGATGTGTTAAGTGATTGAAGGTTACAGGTCATTCTCATACCCAGGAAGAAAGCCACAGTTTCAGAAAAGGAGGAGAGGAGCATGCTGGGAGCCACGTCTCCATGGATACGGCCTATTTGCTGGTGCAGCTCCTCCTGAGGCATCCGCTCATCCTTCTGTACCACAACGCATCACACATGGTGATCAATACATTAATGAATTCATCAATGCCATTATTGAGTTCGACAGTGACCATATACACGCCATTACATGCACATAATGAAACATTGTGGTTCAATGAAAGTATAGTCAGATGAGAATAAAGCTTAGTACCTGGTATGTTTGGACCATTTTTATTTAACCTTTATTTAACTAGGCAATTCAGTTAAGAACAAATTCTTATTTACAATGACAGCCTACACCGGCCAAACCCGGACGACGCTGGGCCAATTGTGCACCGCCCTATGGGACTCCAAATCACGGCCGGTTGTGATACAGCCTGGAATCGAACCAGGGGGTCTGTAGTGACGCCTCAAGCACTGAGATGCAGTGCCTTAGAGGGATCATGGAGCACGCTGGTGTCGTTAAGGGATGCTGGGGCACTACACACAGAAGAGATAGAGAGAATGATTTAATAACTCTGAGGTAATATAAACAAATCTAAGACTAACTATTCACCATACACAGCTATGAGTATATAATTGCTGAAGGGAAATTAAACGCAAGAAATACATTTCTCAATGTGCATTATCAGAACCAATCTTTCAATATGATGATTTGAGAGTGGGAAAGGAAATGCAACTAGTTTAACCTCATGAGTTCAGTAGCATTCCCCAGGTGCAAATGTCACTAGAGAAAGTGTTCTGAGGGCCACTCATATGACGTAGTACAGGAAGTGTGTGTGGTAGTCTGCGTAGACGTAGAACTCATCTCCTATGCTACGGTCCAGCTGTTCGTGGCTGTTCTGGAAGTAGTTGAGAACACTGAGGATGGTGCAGTTGTTGTTGTAGGGGCCACAGTGGGGCCAAGCAGATATCGTTTAAGGTCACCTTCTGGTCCCCGTATGAAGCAACTATGTTTTCTATGTCCGTCTGGAGATCCAACACCTGAGAGATAAGAGATTTTGTAAAACTAAAAATATCACATCAGAACTAAGGCAAAGACCAAACACTGTATGTCTTCCTGAAGAGAAGAGCCTCCACAATTGACCTACTAATTTAGCAGCGGTGGGGGCCACAGATTGTAATTAAAGGTCATTGATCCAGGGTTTTAGCTGCTGAAAGAAATCCTACAGGAAACACTGCTCAGATAGCGTGAACCAAATGTCCACAACCCATAATCCCATTCTAAATGCTACAACAATTCCATCTGAACATATCAATCACACATCAATCCATCACCCCCCAAGCCCAGTTCCTCCAACTAACCCACCTGGTGGAGGACGTTCTTGTCCAGGGGGGCTCCGAAGGGCATGTCAGCCCCACTGGGGTTTAGGGAGTAGACAGATTCTGAATGCAACGTGGTGGTGATGATGAGCTGCTCTGCCCTGAAGAAGGGTCCGAAGTGGCTGTCAAAGTAGTCTTTCTCCTGCCTGGCCTGGCTGCTGGGAGAGCACCACAGCTCCACAGGGTTCGTGGTAATCTTCATGTAGGCCAGGCCCGCTGAGCAGGCAGCCACTACGAGCAAACAGCCACTACGACCAGGTTCCCCAGGATGAGCATGAGGGGCTGCCGTACGCAGAACGAGCCCCAGCGGGTGAAGAGGGAACGCAGGGCGCTCTCAAAGCGCTTGCCCAGCGTCTCACCACACGACGCGTCCACTGTGACAGAGTGAGAGGAGGGAAGGCGTTTATGTTTTTTTTTGGAGAATATTACTGCATTTTGTGCTGATTAATAGCTTGGAGTCCAGAAAGTAATCAAGTAAAACAAGTAAGTGCTGCACAAAGACTTATTGACATGCAGCACCGTACCTTGGTCAATGTTGTCATTGTTCAGACAGTGAGGGTTATTGCTGTCCAAAATGGGACCATACTCCGACTCGATTGTCCTTTTTCTGGATGAGAAGCACACCACCATTAGATACATCTGGGAAAACACTGCTTCAGACTTCAAAGTGCCAGTCAGTTCATAATATGCTTCAGTCCTGTAACACCAGGCTCTGATCACGGCTCCGATGAAGATGAGGAGGAAGGCCACATAAGAGATCCACATGATGACCACCATGGCGTCAATGCCCAGAATAGTCCATGGCGGAACCAGGGGTGGAGGGACAGGCTGGGGGCCACAGGCTTGGCTACAGTCCTGGCAGGAGCATGGCCCACAGCCATCATCCAGACCCTCCGTAGAGCCGTATGTCTTGTTGTTCATGGGGGTCATACCTGACACTGGCATGTCTGGAGAGGTGGGGGCAGTCTGAGGATGATGAGTTATTGAAAAATAAATGTGAGTTGTACCAATTTGACTCCTGATAAATGTTATTGTGCTGTTTTTAACTGAGACCAATGTTATCCTTAACTGAAATAAGTATGGATCCTTGTTGAGACAGATGCCCTTTCATTGTAAATGGCACATATTATGTATTGTGCATCTTACCTGAGAATATAGGAATGATGGGGAAGGGAGTCTGTCCATTGTTGATGTTGAACATGTACTCGATCCAGTTGGTGGCGTTGCAGTCACTGGCATCCTTCCCACAGAGCAGTGACAAGGCCTTCACCTTACTGGAGGGGGCCTGGACATCCTGTCAAGCATTGTACATGGCTGCCGAGAGAGGACCAAAATTACATTATACACCTTGGGACTGACTGATATCTGTAGCATTATGTCAACAATAGTGCTAGCCAATGGAAGTGATTGCATATTTCCACTCTTCAAACTGTGACCTGATTATCTGCCCACTAGCCAGATCTGTTTGCAGTCTTGCCAACTCCTATGGACAATGGCCATAGGAGTTGGCAAGAAATCATTAACAGATCTAGGGGACCAGGCAATGTGCCCCCTCCCCTCACCATTGGCAGTCTGTCCAATGTAGTACTGCACTTCCACCACGTTGGTCTTGTTGGCAGCAGTGTCATTAGTGAACTGGGTGCCGTTCACAAACATACTCTGGTGGGGGCTGCAGGTCAGCTCACAGAACAGGTTCATCAGGTTGAAGAAACAGGCTGGGCATCTGGAGACAGAGAACACAGAGACAGTCAGGGTAAATGTGCTTATAAAAAAAAGAGAACTTTAGAAGGATAGAGATGACAATGCCAACATATCAACAAAGCTACCTTACTGCCAAGGCATCTTGCTAAACTAAATCATAGCTATTACGAGAGTCTGTCCAAGTATGGCACATGTAATGACAAAGTTATTTTTGTAAAGCCACCTATCATAAAGACTATGGTACGTACCGAGAGAGGAACTGTAGGGGCAACTGAAGGCTCCCTTGAAGAGTCAGGAGCTGCTGGACATCGCAGCACAGACTCTGGTTCCCATAGTCATAGCCTGGACACAGCTCCTACACACACAAAACAAGAACTGGGACTATCATTTACATGACCTAACCTGGTTTTGTTAAAGTAAAAAATGTGAGAACATTAAAATAGGAGTCAAGTGTAATTTGAAAGCCTGAGTTTATTCAGTAGGCCCATTGTGTATGACCGGTTGTAAATATATGGTGTATAAGGATAGGTCCCGAGTGGAGCTAGTTCTCTGCGAGATCTATGAGTGACACATTTAGATTTACATTTACGTCATTTAGCAGACGCTCTTATCCAGAGCGACTTACAAATTGGTGCATTCACCTTATAGCCAGTGGGATAACCACTTTACAATATGTATTTTATATATTTATTGGGGGGGTGGGGTAAGGGGGGGTAGAAGGATTACTTTATCCTATCCCAGGTATTCCTTAAAGAGGTGGGGTTTCAAGTGTCTCTGGAAGGTGGTGAATGACTCCGCTGTCCTGGCATCGTGAGGGAGCTTGTTCCACCATTGGGGTGCCAGAGCAGCGAACAGTTTTGACTGGGCTGAGCGGGAACTGTGCTTCCGCAGAGGTAGGGGGGCCAGCAGGCCAGAGGTGGATGAACGCAATGCCCTCGTTTGGGTGTAGGGACTGATCAGAACCTGAAGGTACGGAGGTGCCGTTCCCCTCACAGCTCCGTAGGCAAGCACCATGGTCTTGTAGCAGATGCGAGCTTCAACTGGAAGCCAGTGGAGTGTGCGGAGGAGCGGGGTGACGTGAGAGAACTTGGGAAGGTTGAACACCAGACGGGTTGCGGCATTCTGGATGAGTTGTAGGGGTTTAATGGCACAGGCAGGGAGCCCAGCCAACAGCGAGTTGCAGTAATCCAGACAGGAGATGACAAGTGCCTGGATTAGGACCTGTGCCGCTTCCTGTGTAAGGCAGGGTCGTACTCTCCGAATGTTGTAGAGCATGAACCTACAGGATCGGGTCACCGCCTTGATGTTAGCGGAGAACGACAGTGTGTTGTCCAGGGTCACGCCAAGGCTCTTCGCACTCTGGGAGGAGGACACAACGGAGTTGTCAACCGTGATGGCGAGATCATGGAACGGGCAGTCCTTCCCCGGGAGGAAGAGCAGTTCCGTCTTGCCGAGGTTCAGCTTGAGGTGGTGATCCGTCATCCACACTGATATGTCTGCCAGACATGCAGAGATGCGATTCGCCACCTGGTTATCAGAAGGGGGAAAGAAGAAGATTAGTTGTGTGTCGTCTGCGTAGCAATGACAGGAGAGACCTTCAGTACAGTGTAGGGTGGGTTCCGTGTAGGATAGGTCCCTAGAGGGGGTATTCCCCTGCGAGATCTCAAAATATCCAGACGCACAAAAAGCATATTTCTCTAAAATGTTATGCACAAATTTGTTTACATCCCTGTTAGAGAGCATTTCTCCTTTGCCAAGATAATCCATCCACCTGACAGGTGTGGCATATCAAGAAGCTGATTAAACAGCATGATCATTGCACAGGTGCACCTTGTGCTGGGGATAGATGCCATAGATGTCTCAAGTTTTGAAGGAGCACGTAAAGTTTTGAAGGAGCATGCAATTGGCATGCTGACTGCAGGAATGTCTACCAGAGCTGTTGCCAGAGAATTGTATGTTAATTTATGTTCGTTTTCGTTTTTGAGAATTTGGCAGTAAGTCCAACCTGCCTCAACCGCAGACCATGTTTAACCACGCCAACCCAGGACCTCCACATCCAGCTTCTTCACCTGTGGGATCGTCTGAGACCAGCCACCTGGACAGCTGATGAAACTGTGGGTTTGCAGAACCAAATGTCAGAAACATTCTCGGGGAAAGTCATCTGCGTGCTTGTCATCCTCACCAGGGTTTTGAACTGACTACAGTTTGGCGTTGTAACCGACTTCAGTGGGCAAATGCTCACCTTCGATGGCCACTGGCACGCTGGAGAAGTGTACTCCTCACGGATACCGGTTTCAACTGTACCGGGCAGATGGCAGCCAACGTGTATGGCGTCATGTGGGCAAGCGGTTCGCTGATGTCAACATTGTGGTGGCGGTGGGGTTATGGTATGGGCAGGCATAAGCTACGGACAACGAACACAACTGCATTTTATTGATGGCAATTTAAATGCACAGATACGTTGACTAGATCCTGAGGCCCATTGTTGTGCCATTTATCCGCCACTATCACCTCATGTTTCAGCATGATAATGCACAGCCCCATCTCGCAAGGATCTGTAAAAAATTCCTGGAAGCTGAAAATGTCCCAGTTCTTCCATGGCCTGCATACTCACCAGACATGTTACCCATTGAGCGTGTTGGGTTGCTCTGGATTGACATGTACGACAGCGTGTTCCAGTTCCCGCCAATATCCAGCAACTTCACAAAGCCATTGAAAAGGAGTGGGACAACATTACACAGATAACAATCAACTCTATGTGAAGGTGAGTTGTCATGCTGCATGAGGCAAATGGTGGTCACACCAGATACTGACTGGTTTTCTGATCCACGCCCCTTCCTTTCTTTAAGGTATCTGTGACCAACAGATGCATATACATTTACATTTTAGTCATTTAGCAGAAGCTCTTATCCAGAGCAACTTACAGTTGGTGAGTGCATACATTATTTTTTTTATTTTTCATACTGGCCCCCTGTGGGAATCAAACCCACAACCCTGGCGTTGCAAACGCCATGCTCTACATCCCTGCCGGCCATTCCCTCCCCTACCCTGGACGACGCTAGGCCAATTGTGTGCCGCCCCGTGGGTCTCCTGGTCGCGGCCGGCCACGACAGAGACTGGATTCGAACCAGGATCTCTAGTGGCACAGCTAGCACTGCGATGCAGTGCCTTAGACCACTGCGCCACTCAGTCGTGAAATCCATAGATGTACAACTAATGAATAGATTTCAATTGACAGATTTCCTTACATGAACTGTAACTCAGTAAAATCTTTGAAATTGTTACATGTTGCGTTTATATTTTTGTTCAGTGTATACAATTTCACAAACCATGTCGCGGGCCATTTTAAATTAATCATTTTTTTAATTTTTAATTTTTTATTTTATTTCACCTTTATTTAACCAGGTAAGCCAGTTGAGAACAAGTTCTCATTTACAACTGCCACCTGGCCAAGATAAAGCAAAGCAGTGCGATAAAAACAACAACAACACAGAGTTACATATGGAATAAACAAAACGTACAGTCAATAACACAATAGAAAATCTATATACAGTGTCTGCAAATGTAGTAAGTTATGGATGTAAGGCAATAAATAGGCCATAGTGCAAAATAATTACAATTTAGTACTAACACTGGAGTGATAGATGTGCAGAAGATGATGTGCAAATAGAGATACTGGGGTGCAAATGAGCAAAATAAATAACAATATGGGGATGAGGTAGTTGGGTGGGCTAATTACAGATGGGCTGTGTACAGGTGCAGTGATCGGTAAGCTGCTCTGACAACTGATGCTTAAAGTTAGTGAGGGAGATAAGTGTCTCATTCTTCAGAGATTTTTGCAGTTCGTTCCAGTCATTTGCAGCAGAGAATTGGAAGGAATGGCAGCCAAAGGATGTGTTGGCTTTGGGGGTGGGTGTTGCTATGGTGACCAATGATCTAAGATAAGGCGGGGATTTGCCTAGAAGTGATTTATAGATGACCTGGAGCCAGTGTGTTAACATATAGACTAATATGTTATAAATTGTGTTCTTACACTGGTACAGTTATGCCCTATGTGAGATGTACAACTGCGCATGTGCGAAAATAAAGAAAGGGCATTTTCCCATTGTTTTGAAACACCAACGATGAACATGTGTGTTTATTCCTCCGTTAAGTAAGCCGGTATTCCTGTCCTGAAGATGACAGCACCAACAGGTTATGGGCCCAGGAGGGAACATGGAAGCCGATGGAATAGATTATGTTTCGACGGAGATGAAAAAACAACGAGTTATGGGAGACTAAGTTTTTGGGACACTTGCGTTTGCTAGGGCTAAAGGCCACCATATTGAGCGTGGATGAAGATGAAGAAGACGGAGAGAAAAATGAAGAAGCCTACGCCGAATTGATACAGGTTTTGGATGATAAAAGTCTTTCCCTTTCCCTGATAATGAGAGAAGCAGCAGATGATGGGAGAAAAGCGTTGAAGATATTGAGGGAACATTATGCAGGTAAAGGGAAGCCACGTGTGATTAGCCTCTACACTGAGCTAACTTCTCTTCAGAAAGCTGCTGACGAAAGTGTTACGGATTATATCATTTGTGCTGAGACAGCTATTACAGCACTGAGGAATGCTGAAGAGACTTTAAGTGACGGGCTGTTGATTGCAATGATTCTGAAAGGTTTGCCCGAATCATTTAAGCCGTTTGCCATCCACATAACGTAGAGTGACGAGCCGACAACTTATGGCAAGTTCAAAACCAAGTTGAGGAGCTATGAAAGCACCGAGAAGTTTAGGGCCATTTCCACTGACGACAACGTGATGAAGGCAAGTAACATTAAAGTTAGCTGGCCAAGAGGAAGAGATAAAGGGACCGAGATAACCTGCTTCAACTGTGGCCAGAAAGGGCACAAGGCCCGGGAATGTACCGTTACTGGAGAGCGCAGAGAACGGAGACAGTGGTGTAGTTTTTGCAAGAGCTCCACTCATACTGACGCAAATTGCAGACAAAAAAGAAGAGACAATGTGAAACAAGCAAAAGATGCTGAAGGCCACACATTTGCATTCAAATTAAGTGACTGTCAGGTTCGTGGACTGAAACAAAAAGGGCTGATGGTTGATACGGGAGCAACGTCACATATAGTCACGGACATCGGGAAGTTTAAGGACTTTGACGAGACTTTCAAACCGGAAAAACATTCCGTGGAGCTGGCTGACGGAACAAGAACGAATGGTGTCGGAGAGGAGAGGTGCAGCGGAGGTTTACCTGAGAGACAACACGGGTCGTCGGGTGAAAACAACGCTGACGAAGGCGCTATACATGTTGTCGTTTCCACAGGACATTTTCTCTGTTAAAGCAGCGACAGCCAACGGAGCTTCAGTCAACTTTCGACAGGGGTGTAACAAGCTCATCCACAAGAACGGTACCACTTTTGACATCGAGGAGTACGATAGACTTTACTATCTTAACACTGTAAGTGATGAAAATGATGATGGATGTCATGGGTGCTATGATATTCACACATGGCACAAAATTATTGGCCACTGTAATTTTGAGGATGTGTCAAAGTTAGAAAATGTGACAGAGGGAATGAAAATCACAGGTAAGATTGACAAATCTACCCTCAACTGTGAAATCTGCACACAGGGAAAATTTGTTCAGAGCAGAAACAGAGAGCCTGATGAAAAGGCAAAAGCAGCTCTTGAGCTTGTGCACACTGATTTGGCTGGCCCTATTGAGCCAGAGGCGAAAGATGGGTTCAGATATACTCTAGCATTTACGGATGATTATTCAGGGGCAGTTTGTGTATTTCCTAAAAGCAAAAAGTGATACTGTAAAAGCTACTGAGAAGTTTATTGCTGATGTGGCCCCTTATGGAAAAATAAAGTGTGTCAGGTCAGATAATGGCACAGAGTACACAGCCAAAGAGTTTCCAGTCACTGCTCAATAAGAATGCCATAAGACATGAAACTTCAGCCCCTTACTCACCCCATCAAAATGGGACCGCTGAGAGAAATTGGAGAACACTGTTTGAAATGGCAAGATGCATGCTACTTGAGAGCAACCTACCAAAGAAATTGTGGACATATGCTGTAATGACTGCTGCAGTAATTCGCAATAGGTGTTACAATAAGCGTGTAGGACAGACTCCACACTACATGTTTACTGGGAGAAAGCCTGATCTTTCAAAGATGAAAGAATTTGGATCTGTTTGCTATGCATACAGACAGAACAAGAAAAAGTTGGACTCAAGATGTGAAAAGGGTATTTTTGTCGGGTATGATAAAAATAGTCCAGCATACCTAGTCTACTACACAGACACTGGAAAAGTTCTTAAAAACAGATTAGTCAAGTTCGTTACAAAAGGTGTAGTCGAACGCCAAACTCAGATAGATTTGGAAATGAGTGATGATCTTCATGGGGAGAGATTTCAATCCCCCATGCCAAAAGCCAAGATGGCAGATCAAAATTCCGAAGAGACACAAGATGTGCAAATCGAGACTTCAGATAGTCAGAGTCCACGCTATCCAGACAGAGAGAGGAAGAAGCCCCAGTACTTAAAAGACTATGAGTGTAAAGTGAAGTGTGATGACCAGATACCACCTAGTGTTGACTACTGCTACAGAGTAATGTGCAATGCACCACAAACCTTCAAAGAAGCAATGATTTCACCAAAATCAGAGATTTGAGCTACTGCTATGAAGGAGGAGATGGATTCCCTTAGGGAAAATGATACATTCACATTGACCACACTGCCAGAGGGTAAAAATGCAGTGGGGGGCAGGTGGGTCTATGAGGTCAAAAACAATTCAGATGAGACTGAGACATACAAGGCAAGATATGTTGCAAAGGGATATAGTCAAGTGGCAGGAATAGACTATAAGGAGACTTTTTCTCCAACTGCAAATATGACATCAGTACGTTGTTTGATGCAGCTAGCAGCTCAGTATGACTTAGAGTTACATCAGATGGATGTCAAAACAGCATATCTACATGCTCCTATTGACTGTAAAGTGTACATGGAGCAACCAGAGGGTTTTGAAGTCAGGTCAGATACAGGTGAGCAACTAGTCTGCAAACTGAACAAGTCACTGTACGGCCTGAAACAGTCAGGAAGGAACTGGAACAAAATGTTGCATGATCACCTTAGTGAAAATGGTTTTACACAGAACCCAGCTGATCACTGTGTTTACAACAAACAAACTGCAACAGAAAGGATCATTTTGATAATTTGGGTCGATTATCTAATTATCGCTGCTAGTGATAGTGACTCACTCACAAGTGTAAAATAAATGTTAAGTGAAAAATTTAAGATGAAAGATCTTGGGAGGCTTAGACATTTCCTAGGCATTGATTTTACACAAAGTGAAGGGAAAATAAAGATGAGCCAAACAAGGTACATAACCAAGATACTGGAAAGGTTTGGTATGTCAGACTGTAAAACAAGGTCAACACCATGTGAACAAAAAACAAACTTTGATGGTGATGGTGAACCTATTGATTCAAAAAGGTATCGTGAAGTGATAGGCAGCTTGATATATGTTATGACATGTACAAGACCGTATATCAGTTGGATTGTCAGCAAGCTGTCACAATACCTATCAGAACCAAAAGAGCAACACTGGATAACAGCTAAACATGTGTTGAGGTACTTGAAGGGGACAATGAATCAGGAGTTGTGTTACAAAAAGGGGGTGGAAAAACTCAACCTCGTAGCATATAGTGATGCTGATTGGGCAGCAGATCAAAGTGACAGACGACGCATAACAGGGTATTGTTTTAGTTTAACTAAATGTGGACCTGTTATTTCATGGAGGTCTAAGAAGCAGCCAACAGTAGCTTTATCTACATGTGAAGCAGAGTACATGGCACTGGCTGCTACTACACAAGAACGTTTGTACCTTGTACAGTTATTGGGCCAGATAGATAGTGAGTGCCAATATGCACCAGTAACAATCTTTGAAGATAACCAAGGTGCAATTGCTCTGTCAAAGAACCCAGTATGTCGTCAGAGATGTAAACATGTTGACATCAGATATCATTTCATTCGATCTGCACTCAGTGATGGCAAAATAAGTATTGAATATTGTCCAACGGCAGACATGGTTGCAGATGTTTTGACTAAACCTGTAACGAAGTTCAAAAATGAAAAATTCTTGGGTTATATGTTTGGAATGTAAACTGACATTTGTGAGATGTATAACTGTAAGCTAAATGTGTTGATAGTTAGGTTGAATATGACTTGTACAGTATAAGAGCAAGTGGGGGTGTTAACATATAGACTAATATGTTATAAATTGTGTTCTTACACTGGTACAGTTATGCCCTATGAGAGATGTACAACTGCGCATGTGCGAAAATAAAGAATGGGCATTTTTCCCGCGTTCTGGTTGAAACACCAACGATGAACATGTGTGTTTATTCCTCCGTTAAGTAAGCCGGTATTCCTGTCCTGAAGATGACAGCACCAACACAGTAGGTTTGGCGACGAATATGTAGTGAGGGCCAGTCAACAAGAGCGTACAGGTCACAATGGTGGGTAGTATATGGGGCTTTGGTGACAAAACGGATGGCATTGTGATAGACTACATCCAATTTGCTGAGTAGAGTGTTGGAAGCTATTTTGTAAATGACATCGCCGAAGTCAAGGATCGGTAGGATAGTCAGTTTTACGAGGGCATGTTTAGCAGCATGAGTGAAGAAGGCTTTGTTGCGAAATAGGAAGCCGATTCTAGATTTAACTTTGGATTGGAGATGCTTAATGTGAGTCTGGAAGGAGAATTTACGGTCTAACCAGACACCTAGGTATTTGTAGTTGTCCACATATTCTAAGTCAGACCCGCCGAGAGTAGTGATTCTAGTCGGGCGGGTGGGTGCAAGCAGCGTTCGATTGAAGAGCATTCATTTAGTTTTACTAGCGTTTAAGAACAGTTGGAGGCCACGGAAGGAGTGCTGTATGGCATTGAAGCTCGTTTGGAGGTTTTTAACACAGTGCCAATGATAGGCCAGATGTATACAAAATGGTGTCCGTCTGCCGTAGAAGTGATCTGAAGCGTCACAGACAGAGGCAAGAACGACATCTTGATATTACACAGAGATAGAGTCGGCCCGGAGGATTTCGAAACTGTAGCACCACCCATAGTAGACTGAAAGAGGTCCAGACAAAAGGCCATCCGATTTGACACATTGAAACTCTATCTGAGAAGTAGTTGGTGAACCAGGCGAGGAAGTTCATTTTGACGAAAACAAGGCTATTAGTCTGCCAATAAGAATGCGGGGTGACAGAGTCAAAAGCCTTGGCCAGGTCGATGAAGACGGCTGCCACAGTACTGTCTTTTATCGAGGCTGTGTTATTATATCGTTTAGACCTTGAGAGTGGATGAGATGCACCATGACCAGCACGGGAAACCAAGATTGCAAGCGGAGAAGTACGGTGGATTCGAATGGTCGGTTGCTCTGTTTGTTAAC